TTCCTTGACAACCTCAATCTTCTCTCCATTTATTGTGATGCTGCTCATTGGTCCAGTTGTGAGGATTTTTGTTTTCTTTATATTGAGATGTAATCCATACCGCAGACTGTATTTACCCATTCAAAGTGTGCAATTCAGCTGTTGTTAGTATATTCACAGAATTGTACAACCATCATCACTGTCAATTTTAAATTTTCATCACCCCAAAAAGAAACCCCATACCTTCTGTTTAGTGGTCATTCCTTATTTTCCCCAAAGCCACAAACTCTGGCAACCACTAATCTAGTTTCTGTGTCTATGGATTTTTCTATTTTTATATATGAAATCATATCTGTATATGTGGTCTTTTTTGGCTATCTTTTTTCACTTAACATAATGTTTTCAAGGCTTATCCATGTTTTAGCAAATAGCAGTACTTCATTCCTTTTAATCACCAAATACTATTTAGTTGTACTAATGTACACTATATTTTATTCACCCATTAATCTTTCTTCCACATCAATTGATGGGCATTTAAGTTTTTCTACTTTTTGTCTATTATGAATAATGCTACTATGAACATTCTATGCACAGGTTTTTGTGTGAGCATATATGTTATGGATCTTATTCCCCTAAAATATATGATGTAAATCCTAATATCTTGGCCTATGATTATAATCCTATTTGTGAATGAGTGCTTTCTGTTATATTAATGAGTCAGGATTAGTGTAGGGTGTGTCTTGAGTCCATCTCTTTTGAAATATCAAAGATGTTAAACAAGCTAGCAGAGGCAGAAGAGAGATGCTAAGCAACTTGAAAATCATCTCAGAGCAGATGCTTGGAAGAGACAAGGACCTTCCTCCAGAGCCTACAGAGAAAGAAAGCTTTCCCCTATGACCATCTCCCTGAAATAGGGAGCTCTGGCGGCATAGTGCCTAAGGCATTTGACTGCTAACCAGAAAGCCGGTAGTTCAAACCCTCCAGCCACTCCTCAGAAGGAAGACTGGGCAATCTACTTCCATAGAGACACTGTTTCAGAAACCCAAGGACGGGTTGCTATGAGTTGGAACGCACTAGGTGGCAGTGAATTAGGAATTGTAAACTACTAAATTATGAGAAAATAGATTTGCTTTTTTTAAAGCCACACACTTGTGATATTTTTGCTATTGCAGCACTAGATAACTAGACACTAGCACTAGACGTTATTTTTTCATTCCTCTTATGTATATCCATAGGAGTGTCATTGTTTAATCATATGTAACTTTATGTTTAACTTTTTGAGGAACTAGCACACTATTTTCCAAAGGGGCTGCACATTACATTCCTATCAGCAGTGTATGAAGGTTCCAATTTCTCCATACCCTTGCCACCACTTGTTATTATCTGACTTTTTGATTATAGTTATCCGAACAGGTATTAAGTCCTAATTTACTGCTGTTGAGTTGGTTCCAACTCATAGCAACCCCTCCTTGGGTTTCCGAAGCGGTATCTCTACAGAAGTAGATTGCCCAGTCTTCCTTTAGAGGGGTGTCTGGTGGTTTTGAACCGCCAGCCTTCTGGTTAGTAGTCAAATGCCTTAGGCATTATGCCACCTACCAGCCACTCCTCAGAA